CTTTTGGTGTCAAAGCCACTGAAGACAACGACTGGTCCAGTGGGGGGGGGGGGGTTTCTACACAACGTACTGGAAATACAGAAAAATCAATAAAACAACAGCATCAAAAACATCTGTGTGGCTGAGGAGGGGGGGGCAGTGTGGAGGGGCCAGTGAGAGAGAGAGACAGAGAGAGAGAAAGAGAGGGAGAGAGAGACAGAGAGAGCGAGCGAGAGATGGAGAGAGGTAGAGAAAGAGAGAGTGAGAGAGAGAGACAGAGAGAGAGAGAGACAGAGAGAGAGAGCGAGAGAGAGAGATAAAGAGAGAGAGGAGGGAGAGAGAGAGAGAGATAGCGAGTAAGAGAGAGAGAGAGTAAGAGAGAGAGATGAGAGATGTCCAGAATTGTGGGGGGGGAGGAATAACAACACCGACGAAGACTCTAAGAGCATCACATGTACACAGTACATTTGTACTAAGTGATGGGTTGTGTCTTTAAAATTATTCTGGCTGCTCTCGTTGAAGTTGTGTTGTCGTTTTTTCATCTTAGCTTGAAACGTTTAATATTCCCAGTAACCCTCTACAACATCCGGCGTGCTGTTTCCAAAACCCCTCCCCCAACCCTAACCCTAAAATCAGAGTCACCACAAAATCCTCCCTTCAAAAAAAAAAAACTCTCCCCGTGTTGATTTATTGTGAGACCATCATGTGTTGTTGGTTGGGGACTCTCTCAGTGTGTTCGGGTCTATGTGACACATTGTGTTGTTGTTGCGTTACGTTGCATCAGTAAACTGGGTCAAAGCCGTTCAGCACCATGGACAGCTCCTCGAGCATGGTGAACTTCTTCTCTCCTTTAGTGACCTCGTTTACATCCTGCTCCAGTTGTATCCATAAAACAAACAATCTGTTCTGACTAATGATTCATCATCACTTCTTAACAGTCACACCACTGTGCTAAACAAAATGTTCATCTCCCCGCACGCCGTGTAGCGAGCCTCATGGGGCATCATTATTCTTTACACAGAACAAAGCCACGGGTCGCTCACAGACTGTTTGCAGGCTCCACTTTGAGAAGTCTTGTATATGACTACAGACGCCATGTTAGCTGCCATGATAGACTACAGTACCCAGAAGGCTCGAGGGCCTGTATATCTTTTAGCTCATCAGTTAGCTGTTTGATCTCGTCTGATATAATGGCATGCTGGGTAAATCTCAGGTGATCGTGTTACAGGTAAACTCAATGTGCTTCACATGGAGGTTAAAAACACAGGAACACCAGAAACAGATATTTAACAGAGTGATTGACTAGTTGACTAGAGCTCTGTGATTGACTAGTGACCAGTTCAGTTCCCACACACACACAAACACACATACACAAACACACAAACACACATACACACACGCACAAACACAGACACACACACACACACACACACACACACACACACACACACACACACACAAACACACATACACACACACACAAACACACACATACACACACACAAACACACGCACTCTCACAAACACACACACACACACACACACACACACACACACACACACAAACACATACACACACAAACACACACACAAACACACACACACGCACACACACACACAAACACACACACACACGCACACGCACACACGCACACACACACACACACACACACACACACACACAGTGAAACAGTATCAATCTGTCCACTAGATGGCAACACACAACAGAGAGTTTCCCTCCAGCTGCTGAGGTTACAGGTGGAAGGAAGGTGAATCCAGGAGCCTTCATAACAAACAATAAATGATTCTTATTCTCTACTGACGCATGATGTTAAATAACTAAAGAGGACACGTCCTTTAAAAATGGGGCAGCACATTAAGTCAAGTACTTACTGACTGAACTTACCAAAGCAAAATCAGTGATCACAGTGGTATATAGCAATAATCCAGGCTGGTATTTTACGTTCCTCAACAAACAATCTTTATTTCCATAAACAGATGAAATACAGCATCTTTGTATTCTGTCAGATTGCAGGATCAAAAAAGAGCTTTTACAACCTTTACAACATTTCAAAGGTAGTGCAGCCTAATTATCTTTGAGTGTAAAGGAACATGCACACTTTACAAAATGAATAGTAACAGCATGGCAATAACAAGTAGACAAAGAGTTAAAATAATAATAATTATAATAAACCGGTTTTATATAGCGCTTTTCTAGAAACTCAAAGACACTTTGACAAGGAAAAAAAACAACGAGGACAACAAAGGAGTAATGTAAGGGGGGGAGTGTTGAAGAGGTTTTAGGGATGTCTTAAGGGAAGTGAGTGTGGGGGAGTCTGTAATGTAGTTGAGAGAAGTGGATCTTTAGATGTACAATTTCTGTTATTTAGGATATCACCAAAGTGCTACTTCATAAAAGTGATATTAAGATGAATGAAGTGAGGTTTGACCTAGTGTTGGTGCCTCTTGGCTTTTTACACGTTGAAGACCAAACCAGAGTGATGAGGTGTTGCTAGAAGAATTTTGGCATACACACTGATGACTTTGACCAGAGCTTAATCCACACCGTGAGCCGGAGCTTTTGATCGAGGCAGCACTGAGGCGAGTTATTGATAAACTGCTAATAAGCTATGTGTATAGACCTGCCAGATTGAATAACCATATTCTGCCCTCGTGTGTAGATTTGTGAACATGAACATGAACAGTGATAAACATTCAGCCTGAAAATCATTTCTAAAAAGGTAAACACTTTGTAAACATTTACAAATATAGCTCATGGAACAATGATACTCTGGACGTGGATTTAATGAAATGAATGAAAATTAACTATTTAAACACAACATCAACTGGGAACTGATTTGTGTGTGTGTGTGTGTGTGTGTGTGTGTGTGAAAGAGAGACAGAGACTACATTACTTGTACTGAAACTCGTCTCTCTTTCCATGCGGCAAAAAGACGGTTCCGACCCTCCAGCAGCTCACAGATCAGACTGATGTTGACTCCGAGAGATTAAGAAACTCTAAAAAGCGTTCCTGCTCTGCATGTTTGCTGTCGATGTACCTCAGCACAAGCACCAGCTGTGTCTGTGTAGAAACGTCTGTAGTCCCGTCAGCTAGCTTGGATGGCTACATAGCAAGCAGAACATCTCAGACAGCTCTCCATGTGGACCCTCTACAGCTCATGTGTCTTGATCTTTCTGGAGAGATGATGCATGTCCGTTGTCCAAGCAGTGCTGTCTAACTCCTTCAGGGTGAAAGAGTAGACAGCGTTACTTTACAGCCTGCTAGCCAGGTTTTTCATCTGTACCAATTTCTGAAAAATCCTCGGGTGACGGGCATCTACGAGGTCCTAACTGTTTCGTTGCCAATTTGTCTGGATTCGTTCGGCAACTTAAAGGAACTTCTTCCAAAAGAGACAGTCGAGTTCTTCTGAACGCTAGCCATCTTGACACTGACAGTAGACTGTGAACGAAGCTGCCGCCCGCTTTTTCTCAGTTACGTTTGATGAAAGTGCTTAAGTGCAAGTCCTCTCAGAACCCAAAGAGACTGCATTGAAAGCTCTGGTATTTTGAAAAAAATTGATTTTACATGAGTGTCTATGAGAGACCTCTGGGTTGGGACATCTGGAGCTCGACTTCAGTCTGATTGGACAGTGACATTAGGACTGTTGCTCTGATAGAATTGATTAAAAAAACAATTCCCTCCTTTTCCTTGTTTGGTAGTGCGTCTCCCAAACCTCCCCAACACTCGAAGGTAGCATCCTTCTACCTACAGTCAGGTACAGTTTTATATTTCTGTACATCTTCTTTGCGAATGCTAGAACACCAAACAAGCAGTGCATGTTTTCTAAGACTCAAAATGTTTGATGTTTTAATACTCTGTCGGCAGAAACTTTGTGGATGTTCTTGTGCAATTTTAGCAGTTAGCTTGTTCCAGAGAGAGAGAGAGAGAGAGAGAGAGAGAGAGAGAGAGAGAGGGACCACAGTAACTGAAGACCGGTCTCTAATTGACAAATAACAAAAACAGATAATATACAGTGCAGGAAGAAGCAGAAAACTCAAAGAGCGTGTTTGAAGCCTCCACCTAAATCATCTTAAAAAATCACCAAATTCAAAAACAACATCTGATGCTGGGTGAGACTTAAGTCCTCCTCCTGATGACCCGAGGCCCTGGTCAGAGAAGTCCTCTGAGCTGGACCACAGAGAGCTTTATGGACTGATAAAAAGGATTTCTAAAGGTGATTCTGTAACTTAAGGAGCCAATGAGTGAAGAGTTCAGATGACCTTGTGCGCGTGTCAGGACTAAGTGAGGGTTATTTCACAGAGTGTTTGGATGGCCCGGTGTTCTATCCAGATGTGCTACCCTTCCAGATGTGCTGCCATGTGTGAAGGACTGGGAGCATGAGAGGGGCTTTTGTATCTGTCGAGGAAACGCTCCCTCTTATATCTCATTCTCTCATCATACGAGTATCAAAAACATGTTTCCTGAGAGTGAAAACGCAGCGAGTATTGACCCACACTTGTCCCCCCTCCTCAGACTCTGGAGTGAGTGGTGAATAAATATACGGTTATGTTGTTCTGGGAGCATTATTTTATAGGAGGTACAAGGCAGCACATCTGGACAGAACACCAGCACACTAAGCTAGTCTAGCCTGAATGAAAAGAATGCATATGCTAATTTCTCTGCATTTGTGAGTTCAGCAAGGGATAAGGAGGACAAATAGCTGTGTGAGTGTTTGGCCCCCACACAAGATCATTTATCACACTAAAAAAATGTAGAACAAATATCAACACGTCACCAATTTATTTAGTTTAAGAAAACATTTCTGTGATGATCCGGTTTTGGTTTTTGGAGAAAACTAGATGCAAGAACGTGTTGACTTTGGGCTAACATCAGGACCAAATCCCCCCCTCCTCCTCCCTCTCCTCCTCCCTCTCCCACCTCCCCCTCCTCCCCTCTCCTGCCATTTGAATAGAGAGCCTGCGGAGCGCTCTTTTGTTCAGTAGCGCTCAGCTGCTGGAGAGGTGAACACCACTTTGACTCTCTCCCGCTCCGGCTCCTCTCCGACGTAATTTCTGCCACTGCTCGCAGACGGTCACTCATTCATTCATTGCATGCTAAACGACACCTGGAGCCCTCGCAGTGTCTGCCTCTCTCTCTCTCTCTCTCTCTCTCTCTCTCTCTCTTTATCCGGCCACCCTGGACTGATTCTTTTTCGGCCGCACTTGCGGGGATATGCGCGCGTCGTTGGATGTTTCGTCGTTCTTTGGCACCGCCAGCTGGCCCGTTTCACAGCGGCTCCTGTGAGGCTGCAGCGTCGCTCTTCACTCCTCAGGACTGGACCTCACTTCTTTCTAAAGGTGAAGGCGAGTTATTCAGCCTCTCTATCCGGCATATGCATGTTAAATATTATAACCAGTCAATCTTTTTTTAACGGCTTTGAGGGGTGTTGAATGAAAATCTAATCCAGCAGGTGCACCCTGCACTGTAGGATGCACGTGTGGAGCTGTCGTTATAGAATGATTTGACTTTCTTTCCTCCTTCTGGCCTGTTTGCATGATGTCATGAATGTCCACATTGTGATGGATTCATAAAGTGTGAAAGCTGCAGCCTGCTTTTTGTTTGAACCTTTGAGAGGTGAACATCCTGAGGTGCTGCACACTGAAAGGAGTCACTGTAAACTAAACGATGTGTTGAAGAGTGTTAAGATTCTTTACAGGGTGTAAAATGTAACTGCTGTTTTAAATAGACACTGAATTATGCAAGGGCTAATGCCAACCTGTGCATTACACACACACACACACACACACACACACACACACACACACACACACACACACACACACTTCCTCCCTTTGTCTGGTTTCCCTCCACTCTGATTGGCCCTCACCAGTTTCACCTTCGTCTTGTCTCACCTGTATCCAATCGTTACATTCTGTTTCAGGTCGAGTCCACATGTAGGTGGGTATTTTTTTATACTATTTTTTTATTTTTTTTACTAAGGTTTTCCGTGTTAAGAAATAATCCCGTCCACCCACTACTTCAAAAACATCTTTGTCCACATTAAAACATAAAAACATGCGTGATGAACCCGCCAAGTCAACAACGACATCTTTGGCATGTGGAAATGTCCTCGCCATTCCTCTGCAATGACCATTTTATTTTCAAAGTTGTCAGACCTGGTCTCGTCCAAACTCGTTGACCTTGGAGGCGTGGTCTGTGTGGTCAGAGTGTTGTCTGAAGCAGCAGTGACCTCCGTCGTCCAATCAGGCGTCTCCGCTCGTCCACATAGTGGGAGAGTAACTTTGTGTGTGTGTGTGTGTATGTGTGAGCGTGTAAAAAGTTCAATTAGCATCTTTAGCACCAGCGCTAGTTTGGTTACGTCTGCCATCGCTCTAATCTCATGTAAAGAGACAGCGTCGCACGATGACCTCACACGGAGGAGAAACCGGTGCACAGCTTGACGTTACAAGAACAGAACTCTGTTTTCATCATCTGCACAGAAACACCTGAAACAGAGTTTCTGAACAGCTTCACCCTGGAAGGAGTTTTACTAAACGAGAGTTCACAGAGACCTGAAACACCGTCTGTGTACGAAAGGTCAAAACAAACATGTGTTCAGAAATACTCGCCTACGATTGGACAAGGAACGAGGCTATAGACGTCATACCAACCTGTGTTGTTGTCTGTGTTTCCGCTCTTTGTTTCCTTTGTCTTCTTCCTCCAGTTGTTTTGGACTTTTTGTCTGGTTTTGTACCCGGCTCTGTCAGAGAAAGTTCTCTTTGTGTTCAGACTTTGTGACACACCTGCTTCCACTTTTCTGTGTGTGTATGCAGCCACTAAAACCTGCAGTGTGGCGTGAGGCTCGGATCCCGGGTAGAAATGAAACTGAAGAAGGTTAGCGTACTGTCTTGATCCTTTTGATGATCGTTGACCTCTTTCAGAAAACAAACATCATCTCCTCTGCTCTGTCTGAGCGTCCAGGTGAGGCTGCTGGAGAACCAATGAGCTGCAGGGAGGGAGGAAGTGGAAGCAGTGAAGCCGAGCTGTCAGTGTTGTCACAGAGAGAAAGTGGAGACAGTATGTTGGACGGTGCTCACTCTCCCACCAATGGCTCTCTTTGTTATCTGTTGTGGAAGGAGAGTTCACCTCAGCACGGTGATGAGCGTGGAGGTCAGAGCACAGGTACCGCGCTGTCTTCTACAACATGAACCTCTGTGTGTGTGCTCCTATGATGACCTGCTGAGGGTTGAAGGTTGAAAACATGTCTGCTCCTCCTCCGTCTTCTGTTTGTCTTTATTGAAGGAGACGTCAGTGAGTCAGACGTCGGGTAAAGACCGTCGCTGACAGTAGGAGCAGAGTCGCTCATGACCTCGTGGGAAATGAAGCAAGGATTCAACCAGGCAGTTTGTGAAACAGTTACTTGTCTGCTTACTGTCAGGCTTTGATTCACACACACACACACACACACACACACACACACAAAGTATCTGTACACTGTCGTTTGCCAAATGTTTTTCTCTCTGATCCTCTTCCACATTGATGATCCTGACTGAACTTGACCGCTGCGTTGTCAGAACGAGGCGTAATATTTGAGGCCACGCTGGTATCTGCAGAGAGGCGTGTGTGAGGTGTGTGTGAGGTGTGTGTGAGAGCTCCTGCTCACCTCTGATCTTACTTCCTGAGTGTTTCAAGCTCCTGTTGCTCTAACAGGATCTGGCTCACATTAAATTGGTCTGTTACTCATTTGCTTCCTCCTGCCTCTCGCAGCCTCTCATCCATGTTGTAGAAGGTCTCTGTGTTTGTCTCTCATCCACATCAGGCTCACATCAGCACATTCTGGATGAGCAGTATTCCTTCAGAGCAGGGTGCACTGCTTTTTCGTGGGTCTACTCCAACTGAGGACAAAGACAAAGACACCAAGACTAAGAAAGGAACAGAGACTGGGACTGACTTTGGATTGGATGATTTTGGACGGATCAATCTGCTCTTTGCAGGCGTTTGTGTCGTCACACGTTCAGTAATGTTTCTTCTCTGCGGGCTGAGCTCAGCGTAGTGCAGACACTTGTAGCTGAAGACCTGAACGGGCAGGAATTTCATTTTGCACTTGAATAGTGTCCAAGCGGGTGAACAATAAACTGAGATTTAGCGAACAGAAAACATTAATATTCCTACATTCCTCATAGGCCATGGCACTGCCAGTAAACAGGGTTTTGCATGTTTTTAATAAAGGCTGCACCTTTTGCCCAACAGAGAATCCCTTAGACTGCAGAGCAGATGGAGTGGAGCCGCAGTGTCGCCTTGGCTAATAACTTAATAGTCTGGCATAAGCCATGTTGGACTCGCCGCTGCACCAGGAGCCGAGCGCGAGCAGCTCAGCCTGAGCCAGCGTGACTACAGTGAGAGCAGACAAAGCCCAGGAGGCACAGAGGCAGAAAAAAGGGGCAGTTTGCCACGATCCCCCCCCATGAATATTCATCAAAGACCCCCTCCTCTCCTCCTCAAACACAGCTCTGCACCCCTCTCCCACCAAATGTATTCAAAGAAAGCAGTTTCCATATTAAATACTATGAATAAATGATGGCATCTGGTAACAGTTTGTGTCTGCTGAATTAATGACAGGGACACATTGGAGGGTCCTGCAGTGATTGGAGGAGGGGCTGGGGGCTCTGCTGGGTTTCCTCTCTCGTCTCCTGGCCTCTCCTTTGTCTCCCAGGTTGGGTTTAGAGCTTAGACTTGGTTGCGAGTCAGGTGGATCGTCAGTGGATCTGAGTGTGTCTCCATCAGTCACTCTTTAAAAACAGCCTGGAGGAGAAGCAAACACTGCACAGCTGTGAGAGTCTCCATCACGCCCGTGTCTTCCTGTCTCAGTTAATCCTCAGGAAAAAGAAAGGCTCCCTGTGGGCTCTTTATGTGGTTTCAGCACCGGACAGCTCCTGAAGCTCGGCCTGTTGTGTGTGTGTGCCTCGTACATGTTTAACAAACACTGAATGACTGAGAGACACCTCCTCCATGAAGGATACCGAGTATGTTTGAATCACTGTTGAGTTCTCTCTGTCAGACTCTGATGAGCTGCTAAACAGGCAGAGTTTGAGACGACCACAGATGGTCCATGTTTTCCACTTGTGCGCCGCAGCTCCCAGAGGAGACGAGCGTGTTGTCAGGTTGAAGTGTTTGGAGGGTTCCCTCACAATCGGAGAGAAATTAGAGCCAAAGCTTAGGGGGAACAAGACATATTTAAGTAAAAGAAGAGAGCTGCAAGCTATTTCATGCATGCTGACTTCCTGTTTGATGGAGTGTTTTAGCTTATATCAAATGGTGTCACGAGCGATATGTGTTTTTCTTTCTGTTATTCAGATAAACACTGACAGCTGTCAAGCTTTTATTGGGGAAGTCTTTGACTCCCAAAACGTTTGTTTACAGTTTATTTAGTAAATCAGTTCTTTCTTTGATTCTGAGAAACAGATTATCTGATCCTCCTCTCCGGTCTCTGAAGCCAAAGACTCGATCATGATTTTTTTATTGATGTGGTAAAGTGTCTTTTTGTGTTTTTGTTTTTGTACCATGCTGCTTTGTGCATTTTATAGAACATGACGCAGGCTGACACCCTACAAGACAACAACAAGCTGACAGAGTCGCCCCTCTTCAGACTGCAGAAGCTGCTCCGTAGCTTAGCTCAGCCGTCGTCATGTCTTTGTACGTTCATACTGATTCTGTAACGGCGTAATAATGGCGCCCCAGCCACGGCACAGCAGGAGCTCCACACACACACATACAGTCAGACACACACACACAGCGCTGTTCTCCCCCGCTGGATCAGCTGATCCCATCTCTCCTCTGTAACGCCTCTGTTACCACCTCTGAAGACGGGACGGGACGGGGTCACTTCGCCCCCCCATTACGCCGCCATGACATTCAGATTGAAGGAGAACATCACAGGGTGTAAATATGGAGGCTTGCAACGGCGGTCTAAAGAGGGCTACCGATTTGGACAAGGAGACAACACCGATACCCTGCTGGCAGGAGCAGCTGGTGGACTCTGGGATTTGTAGTCCATGTGGGTTTAGCCATGTGTCAGGAGTCTTCTCCTTCAGAGGGTTTCCCAGTGACTACTTACCAGGGGAGCATGAGACTAAATATTGATATGGCCATCTTTTGTCTTCCTTACTGGTGTAATCCATACGTTGACCCCATATATATAGATGTTTGAATTTAAAAATGTGCTGTTCAAAACAGATTTCCCTGCCTATTTGATCCGTGTCAATACTTCATGACTCCCCGCAGTGGCGCTTAGGACATGAATGAGGATAACGTGGGTGGAATTTAATTGGCCGAAGATGAAGTTGGCAGTGGAATTAGA